GATAAAATAGAATCAATCGCATAATCAATCTAGGTTCAGAGTCATAGTCGAAGATGATGAGACTTTGCAGCGATAGAGTTTTGGCCAAAAATAATTCCAAGCATATTCATATTCGGAAAATATGCTGAGCAATTGGAATATTATCATATTTATAACTCGATAGATTTGACCATCATGAAATTCACCCCTATAAATATGAGGTTTTGTAGCATAGAGGGCATCTTCGAATCAACACACAAACTCACATGCTCTATGCGAAACCTTCTCTCGCACCTTGAGAAAATATACCAACTATCCTAACTCTTTCGTCAACACACCTTCAGTTTGAATTAATAGCACTGTGTTGACAATCAGGGACACGTTTAGTTTGGATTAACACCACTGGAGCTGTATAATTAAGCGATTGAGAAGCATCTTCAGTTTAGATTAACAATAATGTTTTTGTTTTGTTTGGTTATCTATCCAAGTCTCAATTGGCGAAGAGTTTACAATTCTTTCGTAGAACGAGGTCACTTCATTAGCTTTCTAGCAAAGTGAGGTGTTCTATAATTGGTTACTCCCAAGTGCACTTCAGAATTTGACATTAAGACAATCGAACAACATTCACCATAAAGATACTCATCTCGTTTGAGTATCTTTGCCAATATAGTCTGATACTGATTCGAAGCACCTATATTTTCACAAATATAGTCGAGGTTGTCGAACCTGGTGCAGAAGATCATGAACTTAGTAGTGAATTGAATAAGTTTGTCTTTAGGTTCTAGATACCTAGGCTGAGAGAGTTCTTTCCTTGGCCATAGTCTCAATGCAGAAATCAGTAGTGCGTACAACACCATACCATCACCTCTATTTTATTCGCCCAACCAAGCTCAGCCATAAGTTGGCATGCCCTCATTCATAAGAAGAACGTAGTTATCTCAGTAGTTGCTAAACTTGCACGCCACGTAGGTGGTGTAATTTTTAGAGTCAACAACACATATAAGACATGAAGTTCTAAAATCTGAAAGACAAAAAATTGGGTCATTCTTCATGACCATATTTATTCCCCTTTCAACTAATCGTTTTACATAGTTGAGACGTATTTTTGTACATCAACTATTATAATCAATTGTTAATCGAGATACCCTACTAATGTAGTAACTTAAAAATGTTACGTTTTGATCCTCTATCTAGCCTTTTTTTGTTTGTCAAGATGTTAGTGTTTAATGTGTTGATATCGCACATGCTTTTTTGGTATATGAGCATAATGTTATTACAGAATGACACGATTTTTAAAGTGTTGCCCCTCGTCATTAGTCATTAGTCATTACATGTGCATGTTTTTTGAACTTAATTAAGGAGGCAATGTCATTGACATTACAGAATAACTACCTAACGATGAATATGACTGTCGACGGAAAATGCATTGTCGATTGTAGATTCTAAAGGAGAATGATATGCACAATATATTGAAAAGGAAGGCATTAGAATTGCCTTTTCCAAGTAATAAACAGCCTTTTTGTAATGTATAGCTCCAAACAGCATGCGAAACAAGAGGAGGGTTGCCTTTCTTGCTTTTTGAAAAATGTAGGAAATTTCCAAGGAAATTTCCAAAGTTGGCTCTCCAATATTTGCATGCCACCCCTTACGATATAACTAGGCACATAGCTAGGTAGCTCTAGTTGCCTTCCTAGCTAGGTCAAACAAGGAAAACTCAAATTGTTTTATCAACTTTCATCCTTACCTGCAAATCTTAATTTGGCACGTACAAATAACTTATTAAAATCAACTAATTAAAACTAGTTTACGCACGCATATATATCAAATTGGGAGGTGTCAAAAATAAAAAATAGCATGAATTCAAGTAGAATGTACGACACTTTCAAAACCTAGTAAATTGAGAATGACTTATATGAGATGAAACAGATTCACCGTCACTTGGCGTTCCCGTTTCAATAGTGCAAAAGTAAGTTTCTTAACATATGACATTACATAATTGGATCGAGACCTCACATAGTGATTGATCCCATTTCATATAAGTCGTTTTCTTTCAAACCATCTAAGTGTCAAGTTGTCATTTGCTAATAGTATGAACATATAAGTTGTTTTCTTTAAAACCATCTAAGTGTCAAGTTGTCATTTCTTAATAGTATGAACATGATGCCAGAACAGCACACAGAGAAAAGGCCAAGAAATTAAACAAGTCTACATGTGTAAAGCAGAGCCTCCCAAGAAAGAAAAAGAGTGAACAAATTAACATTGGGGAATGTGATTTATGAGAATTCTCGGGCTGCAGATTTTCTGAGTCAAAAGCTAAACAAAAAATAAAGAGAAAAAACAAGTTTAATTTTAGTCTGTCACTGCATAGTGCATGCATACAGGGCAGGCCAGCTCATAATGTGCATTCTTCAGCTACGCGTTTCAACCGGCGCAGTCAAAGGCAGCAAGCTCTTCTTTTTTACTTACTGTTAACCACCACAACCTTCCAAACCCAATTCAGTATGTGGAGGTTGGACCACTCACTGCCTGCACCCGAAAATTATTTATTCATTAATTTCCATTTTTTTATGAATTAAATTTGAAATATTTACAATTGGTGAACTAGAGTCCTTGCACGTTGGCCATTGGAGGTGGAGAGGGTAGAAAATGGATAAGAACTCAATGAGAAGTTGGTTGCCACTATTATGATTTCACCTTCAGTGTATGGTTGGTATGAAATGGGTGGTCTAATTATGAGAATATAGTATAGAGAATGAATTTAAGCTTTAGGGCAACATGATTCTTTTGATACAAATGATACTAAGGAACAAAAAATGACTTCGGAGGTAAAGATAAATTGTATTCATTAATTGAGTTACATGTTGTCTAATTTGACTAACTGCTACAAGTAAGCATGTAACTCAGTTGATAAGAAATACTAGTTTATGTTTTGGAATTGCTAAAACATAACCAATAACTACGTTAAGCCTTTCATGACTGAAAATGGCCTTAAATTAATTCTTTAAACATAATCCAAAATCTTAATTATATTTTTTTGAAACTAGACTTGCTAAGTCTATAAAATTCTCTTGTGAATTAATATTTTGAAGATTACTTTAGGACTAAATTTTTTTCATCTCTTACTACGTAGAGTTATATTTTATTACTTTTTGGAGCCAAACTTAGTCTACTGTGGAATTACATGTTATCTACCTTATGACCAAACTTAGCCTAATTCCCTTTAGCGTTTTGATTGGACATTAATTTTGTCAAATTTTAGAGTTAAATATGGTCTATAATCCTTGGCTGGAGATAATTAGAACATCCATTAAGGGAGGCAAGATGGAGACAAAGCTTCTAATTAGAGATTGTTCGACTAATTGCCGGGAGTCGTGGCGTTTGCCTTGGGCACATAAACCACATTAGCAAAGGCTAAAGACAACAAAGCCGTTCTTTCTCTTACACAACACCCACATAATTAATTATTATTTATTTAATCCTTTTAATTTCTTCCCTTTTTTTTTCCCTTGACTACTTTCATATCCAATTTGTCTCGACTAGTTGATAAATAATAATAATAATAATTAGTTTTTTTTTTGTTTGTTTTTTGTTTAATCCCTATTGGTCCATTGGACCCAAAGCTCCTTGTATTTAATATATTTAATTTTAATTATCAAACAAAAAGACTAATCACGTTCTTAGATTTTTGTGCTTATAGGCTAAAGATATTAACAATTTGAAGACTTTATGTCCATCTTATCAGTTGGCCAATTAGGTGTCGGTTCTTCATAAAATATTTGCCATGCAACTATTTACATATGGACCAAATATTTTTAGCCATTTTGATGAATTCATAAAATACCAAATGGAAGAAGAATTTTTTTGTCACGATATATACTAAAAATTACTCCAATTATTATAGTTTAAATTTGAATGGAAGGGAAGGACACACTCCCTCGACAGACTAGTCTAATTTGCGATCAAACATATTGAAGAATCTCTGCTAATTAATAAAACACTCATTGTTAACCAAAATTCTATAAAATTACTAATTTAACCCTCTAATTCAAAAAGAACATGAATAAGAAATATGGGGTAGAAATGTAATTTCACATAACCAAATTTTGCTGTTTTTTTTTTCAAAGCCTCATTTACATATAATCTTAATATATCTCTAATTAAAATAAATAAATAAGACTTCCTACTCCCACTTTCTCTATTACTCTCTTCCTCTCTCTCTATTTCAAAAACAAAAATAAAAAAATTTCTTGCATTTTGTGTGTACTCATACGCTAGTATTAATAAAGGGAACAATATGGCTAGAAGATATTTATTTACAAAACTATGAGACATGGTGGTAGGCACAAATAGTTTCCTTGCAGGAAAATTCATCACTTCATTTAGTTGTACAGATCCATTATATATATAGTGGTTTATGTGCATAAAATGTGAGAGATTTGAAATAACTTATGTCATCAACCAAAATAAATTGGCATCAAATTTGTTATTTATGAGAGTCGAACCTATAACTCTAGTTTTTGTTAATTAACTTGAACTAAACACAAATGCGTTGATGACATGCTTTTATCTCTTTTATCAATTATTTATTTCTTTACAAAATAATATGCTAAACTACTCTAATATACAAGAACTAAGATTAGGTTACAAGAGAGATGACGCACGGCCTGACGCACATCTGCTATGAAAAATTAAGTTAAACTTAAAATAGATAATTAAAAATACCCATATTCTCTTAGTCATAGTAGAATGTGATTACATGTGAGACATTTCAGAGAACATGGTTGTCCTCATAGGTTCACACATGTATTCAAAATTTCAAACAGTCTGTCAAAACCATTTACCTAATCCTCATTTTCTAACCCTCAAAAATCTTTTTGACTTTTCTTGTTTGACAAGAATTCAAGAAAATGGAGCTAATTTCATTATATTAATCAAAAGAGGAGGGGTTAGATTCTTCCCCCGTTCCACACAATGTGAAACCGAAAAGGAAAAATACTCCACTAGGTTTGTTAAAAGGAGAATAAAAATAAAATAATATTCCATTAAAAAAAATCAAGTTAACTATTACACATGTGTGGTGCTTTGCTGTATAAAATCCCAAACCCTAATTTCCTTTTTACCTAACATTCCCCTCGTTCTCTTCTCCCTTGCCGGCAACAAAATATCTCTAATTTACGAAAACAATTTAAATGACACGAATGCAAGATCGGTCTAATCGTCCATGTCCCACCACCACTTATCTTTTCACATTCCCATCTGTCTTTCCCTCTCCAAAATTCAAACAAATGGATTTAAAAATGGTTGTCCCCACCCCTCCCCTCCATCTGTGCCTTTTAATTCAGCCAACTAAAAAAACCAAACCCACCTACAATATCTAACTACTATCACCAAATTCCACCTTCCTTCTCTCCCTCTTTATGTACAATGCCCAAACCCTAAGCAAAGAATATTATCATTAAAACTTCTAACAACCAAATTGGAAACTTCCTCCTCAAGAATGAGATCTGATGAGCCCCAAATTGTACTAGATTCCTTCTCACTAGGCTCCCAAGTGAAAACAACACTGCCCCACCAACACCACCAACTCCTTGCTGCTCCTCCCCTTCCTCCTTTGGATGGTATATCAATGGCAGTTCCTTCACTTTCAAGTTACTCAACCCGATTTTCTGCCTCACTGATTCGATGGTTTTCGGATCTGCAGGGTTTCCGACTGCATCCGTCACGTAGAATACGTTTAGAGCTTTGTCCATCGTTGTGGAAATCTCGGCCCTTGTCACATTAAGACCGTTCTCGCGGAATGTTCTTGTAACGTATGCTAGAAGACCTTGCCTATCCTCGGTGCATAGTTCTAGCCTCACACCCTGCAATACGATAAAACCCAATTCAACAATTACAATTTGCAACATCATGAACAATAACCAAATGAAATGATATACAATTTGATTGCAGAGAAACTGAAAATGAGCAATACCTCGGATGCTCTTCTTTGAACCGCGGCTTGTAAGCATTGGATTACACGCTGTCGTTCGGGTTCAGAGCTAATCGGGGTTCCATCAGTATGCCTGATGTAAAATTCCTGAAACATAATTCAACAACAAAACACAAGTCAATCTCAAGTTTCAATATAATAATAACAGAACATATACAATAAACCACATTATTAGGAAACTAAGCACATACCATGTATCCTCTGTCCCCTGATGTTTTAATAGTGGCATGAAAAACCACATAGTCCATGTCTGTCAATGTGCAAACAACATCGAACAAAAGCTTTGCCCTATCCTTGCACTGAATATTCACTATGGAGTAACCCCTTTCCGCCCAATTCTGCACCGTTATGACAGGAGAATCGGTGCGAAGCTGCAAAACAGGCTTTCGATCATAATCACGATCAGCAAACATCATTTGATGCAGTCTTCTTTCGGTGTGTGTAACCGCCATGGAAACAGAGGTTTTCGCACTCCTAATATCATTGTCGCCCTTGAGAACATTCCTTAACCGCGCTTCAATTCTATCAATTTTCTGCGAGTCCTCAATAGGGGACCCGGAATCACAGTCCTTCACGTATATCAGTGAAGCAATACGGCCGTTGTGCGTCCACACCTTGGACTCAACCACATTGCATTGCAGGTCAGCTAGCACTGCAAACACCTCGGAAAGAAGGCCTACTCGATCTGTCCCGGTAAGCTCAAGGGCCGTAAGACCCTTAATACAGTTGGATGATCCAAAATGAATTGTTCCAAGTGACTGCCAAACACAAGAAATTAAACAATTTCAGTTTCAATTAACAATAAATTTCACTAGTAAAAACTCGAATGAATTAGAATTAAATGAATGATTAATTTACCTGCTCAATATAGTTAATAACGCTCTCGTCCGTCAATTTATTTCCGTTTTGATCAGTAACATGAAAAACTGCAGTAAAAACAAAAACCCAAATTAAGATACAAAATTCAAGAAATAAATACCAAAAAAAAAAAGGGGGAAATTTGAATGTTCTTACCATCCATGAACCAGCGACCATCAGAAGAAATGTAAGCTTTTTTAATGGAGAGATTAAGATCCGTGAGGACCTGCACAGCATCCAGAAGAATTCCATGCCTTCTAGCACTGTCAACCTGCAGACCCAGAAAGAAAAAAAACAGAAACCCCATTAGTCAACTTTGTGGAAGAATTCACACCTCCTTTTGGGGGGTTTTTGGAAGCGGAAATTGGAAAATTAGGGATTTTCGTGGGAGCAAACCTTGACTAAAGTCGCAGTGGAGCAGACGGCATTGTCGATGACGACCCTGCAACGCGAAATCAGGAAAACGGTCAAGTCAGAGAAGCAAGTTTTCAAGCATTTTATTTTCTATTTTTTATTTTTCCAAGTTTTCAAATTTCGAAGTGTGAAAAGTCTGAGAGGAAGCACGTACGGCAAATTGCAAGAAAACCCAGAAAATTCAAAATATAAAATTTAGGTGAGAAAATAAATGTGGAGTGAAAAATGGGTAGGAAGGGAAAAATCGAGAAGAGATCTGGATCGATGAAAATTTTCTCGAGAAAGTTGGAGATCACAGGGGCGGTGGAAAATTTCGAAAGCCAGAAAATCCATAAAACCAAAACCAAAACGACTAAAAAATAAAAACCCACAAACCAAAAAACCCAAATGTTGAAGGAGTGGTGAAAATTTTCTCGAGAAAGTTGCAGATCACAGAGGCGGTGGACCAAAAAACCCAGAAAAACCCAATGTTTGAAGAAATGATGGAAGTACCTGGGAGTGTTCATCCGGAAGACGAGTTTTTCATATTCGTCGAGGTAAGCAGTACACTCCATCGCTCTGATTTCGTCGACACAGAGAAAAGCAGAGGAAGCAACTCTTGTTTTACAGATTTGTGCGCGTTTTAGCGACGAAAGTATCGAAGAAACAGTAAGCGAAGAACCACAAACTTCTCAGCCGCATCAAACAAATTCAAATGCCAGATGCCTTCACACTCTCGCTCCCTCAAGCCCTTGTCCAAATCGCCATGAATTTCCTCTCTCTCTCTCTCTCTCTCTCTCTCTCTCTCGCGCTTACACAAACTGCTTCTATGGGGTCTCTCTATATATCTATATTATATTTATTTATTTACATATTAGTCCAACACTTTTGATGTATTTATTTTTATGTCCAAAAAAAAATATTTTCTATTTTTTTAATTATTTTATTAGTTTCCAAGTCACACCCTTACGCAATGAGCGAAGGGAGGTGCGAGTTACTGCCCGTCACATGGCATGAGTAACGCCTGCCCGAAGTCCCTGCCCGTGCTGACCGGACTTGCCCTCGCTCGCTCCCTCCCACTCACGTGACTCGCCTTAAAACGGTCAACTAATTACACCACCTGGCATCTGATCCCTTCTCCTTCAAATTGTTATGCGTCCAGCTCGGATGCCACGTGCGCTTCTCAAACCACCTGGGTTCGACTCAATCAAATCGCCTGGAAGGGTCATGTCCACGTCGGATAAAGTAGGTCCCAGGTTGTTTGCTGAGTAAGCTAGGATGTGCCGACCGGAATTATTATGATATCGTGGGCGCACCAGCTCGTACCAGCTTTTCGGCTTTTCCACTGTCATTGTTTTCGGCCGGTTTTTCTTATGCCTCAGGTCGCTCTTGATGGCAGTTTGGTAATTTTAAGTTCGATTTTTTTTTTTTTTGAATAAAAAAAAGAACGGTGTGCTTAAACCTCATAATAGATTAGTAATAATATAGTTCAAAAAATAAATCTAAAATTTCTCACTTATAATAAATTTGACAATAATCAAATCTAAAATCTCTCACTTACATTTAAAGATGAAGACCTAGCACTAAATTGGTCGTTTTAAAATATCCTCTGAAGAATATTCGGATCAAAACGTACGATGGCGTCATCAGGTTGAGTTAATTAACGGAAGAATCTGTGTTAATGGTTGATCAATTAAGCAACGCCTTAAACCGGATCCGAATAGGTTAATCTCGTAAATTTCGGAATGACGTGGCTTATTTTAAGAGGGTGGGAGGGTCGCTCGTTTGGCGCGCGTGACTTTAGACGTAGTCGTGGAGGCACGCATTGAGACTTATTATGTCTTGGCCCACTATTAGCGGGATTACTCGACACGTGTCGAGTATTGAACTGAGTTTTAAATCCTTAAAAATCATATTGGGGACACGTGGGACCCAGGGGTAAGTCCTCTCTGTCTGACAATCACGTGCGAGCTCCACCACAAAACACGTTCGCTGCTTGGCAGCTGTCTCTGGCCACAGCCGTCCCACCTAACGGTGACGATCCTCGTTGGCTTGCTTTGCATACTACTACCAAACCTTTGACAATTGACATGCTTCGCACGTAACGGAAGTACGAACGTCGTTAATTTCGAAATCGTGGAGGCAACGTAGTCGGTTGTGAAGTGACAGGTGTGGCGGTGACACTCGAAACCCCGCCGCTTTTATTCATGATAATTGGCGGGAAGACTACCGTGTTTCCCTCCAAATCGGAGAGTCCGTGGGGGGTGCGGGGTCCACATACTAAATCACCGGCAATATACATATGGTTCCCACCTTTTCCCTCCTCCAAATGCAAATGCATACGGTGGGAAGTTTACATCGACATCGTTCCACCACCCCAATCTGAGGAATATGATTTTTTTTCTTTTGTTTTTTTTATTTAAATTTCTGATTATGTGAATTCCCGCTCATTTTTCTTCGGTCTAAAAGACGAGAAATTTTTCACTGATTTCGAAATAGAGTGCGGTCTCTATATATTGGGATACAAGTGGAATAAAGTTTAAATTTTCAAGTGTCCTTTCATTTATAAAATGATTTATATTACCTTATGTTTCTGACACACTGAAATCTTTTTTTAGACCGTTAAAATTGAGGATGGTGGGACAAATTGAGAGATACATTCACGAAATTACATCTGGTCGAGGGTGATGGTGAGAGAGAGGGATACTATACAGTAACATAACAGAATTCTCTGTAAGGCACTCCAAGCATGTCTCAAGTTCAACATGGTTAAATATGCCAGACAATAAACTAATAAATTAATTAAACCAAACCAATATAAATTTGGTATAGCATCTATAGAATATGCAATTCATCTAGGGCACGTTTATTAATCCGTAATTATATTGATATGAATTGAATTGAGAAGGAATTGGAATGGGGAAAAGTCAGAATTGAATTCTTGTCAAAGTTGTTTACTATAATGCTTTGAAATCAGAGTTGAAATGATATAAGCTATTTACTAATTCACCTAAATCGAATGGAAATTAATAAGATTACTAAAATACCCAAATTCTAAATAATAGAAAAAATCATAACTTTTTAATACAACTTAAACTCTTTTTATTTTTTAAAGAGTAAAAACCTAATTCAACAAGGAAAGAAGTTAAAAACTCAAAAAAATAAAAAATAAAATAAAAAAAAGGTTCGGAAACCTCCACTGTTCCACCACAACACATGCTCTCCCTGTCTGCATCCGTAAATTGATTTTGCGATCATCCCCAAGCGCCAGCTCTTGCCCCTCCTGATCTCGTCGGGTTCTATCGGCCTGAAGATCTCTTTTTGGCGGTAAACCATGGACTCCTTGCCTGCCGCCATTCTCGGATTTCTCAACCCTTTGCCGGCCGCTCAATGCTTTATGTTATGCTCTCTGTAAAAATGTCTGCAATCGAATTCGATCCGCAGTGGGTATATCACAAGGTTTTTCTTTCATCTATGATCATCTGCATCTCTCTTTCCCCATTTGAACTTGGATCTGGGGCTATCGGGAGTTTGTTTGTAGAACTGTTGGGGTGGGTTGGTGATAGGTCTTGGCAGTCTGAGAAGTGGTGCGGTGGTCTGCGGTCTTTAAGGGTGGGGATGGGTGTGCTTTAGGTGGTTGAATCATGGGAGGCAGACGGGAGGGGCAGGGTAATTTCGGTAGAAAAGTTTGATTCCAGCTGTTGACTTTCTTCTGGAATTCAATTATCACCTTCAAGTCAGTATTTGGATTCAGGTATATCAGGAATCCGATTACTGATTTTGGGTGGAGTCCGCTAATGCTTTCATTCCCAAAATTTGGTAAACAGCGGAATCACTTGGGAAGGAATTCATTCCCTTTCTTCAACATCCATTCCGGTTTAGTAAACACGCTACTAGTATGGATTGGAATATTTGCATTTCTCATCCACGTCCTATTATTTTTCTTTTCAAACAATAGATATGGATGGATTTTATTAGATACGTAAGTCGACGTTGTTCATTCGTGACTGATATAGGAATAATTCCACATCTTTTTAATTTGTACAGAATCAGTAACTTCTTGAGAAGATCTTGCCCCTCAAATTAGAGTTTACAAGTTTTGGGACCATGTTTTGGTTAAAATCTCAAAATATGTAGTAGCCACTAGCCATGTGACTCACACCGTCACATTTTATTTATTTTATGATTTTAAATTTCTATTTTGAAAGTTGAAACATCAAGGTCGTGCATTATCTTTTAACTTGTTTTGCGATCGTTTAAAATTTGCGAAATTAATCCATTGCTTTCAAATTTCATAATTTTTTTTGTCAACTTTCAAATAATTGCTTCCCATAATTCTTATATATATTTTGCCGATTTTAGTTTTCTTTCCAATTTGGTCAGTGTGGCACATCATATAAGATCTATTACATTTGAGAATTGTTATTGACACTCTAAAATTCTCATTCTACCCTTTAAATTTTCTATATTTAGAAAGAAAAATATATTTGTAAGGAGTGTAGAATGAGAATTTTGAAGTGCCAATAACACTTCCTTACATTTATATCAAATAAAATAAAATAAAAATCTAATTGCATTATTTTAACTAAAATAGGCATTTTCCATAGAAAAAAAAATAAAAAAATCACAATTAATGGCGTTTACTTCTGATAATAACTATTTAATTAATCTCTTCGTAAATGTTACACCGAAAAAAAAAAAAAAAAAAAAAGAAACCAATCCTCTCCAAGACTCGAACACATTTTATTTCTAAAAGCATAGTTTTTACCGTTGTAACTTGTAATGCATAAAGTCATAACGCAAATGGAATGAGATGCGTAAATGTTAGAAAGTGGTGCTACTTTGAATCAAGACCACAATGTAACCGTGTATTGAGAATTTGTGTCTGCGTGCATGCATGCATACAATATATTAGCAACTTCGATACAACCCAGTGTTTGGAACGACGTGAAGACTAGGACGTGACTCATACCACTGCATACGGAGTCCGTGTTCAACGCAATTTAGTTCATTTTCAACCGAAAAAGTTAAACATAGCTCCGTTTAGAATTATACCCCTACAAAAAATTATTTTTAAATAAAGCCATACTCATATCATCTCTAATCGAATGAACTAAATATAGTCCCTCCCAACGATTTATTAGTTTTATGTTTATATTTTAAATTATTTGTTAATTTAATTCAACTACTGTTGGATGTTTTCAAATTTAGCCATTAAATTTGAATTAATTATTGTAATCGGGAGCTCACCAAAACCGGCTAAGTGGGTGGCTAAATTTGGCCAGCCTGGTGCCCTTTTGGCCAAATAATAGCCTGAAGGGCTCTATAGAATTATAATCCAAACATCAGTTGGAGATAAATTTTGGGTAAATCAGGCTATTTATTGGCTTTTGGACCTTTAGCCTTCTCCATTGGAGGATGGCCTTAGGACCTTCGAAAACTGTGAGGGCCTCTCTTGTAAAGCCCATGTATCTCGACTTCGATGATTCAGAGTCATTTGAAGATCAAGAGTGATGTAGACATCTAAACCGTGATAACTCTAGAGATACTTCAAAATTTTAATAAATAGGATTCAAGATAAAAAGATACTTAGTAAATTTGATTGCAAATCAGGATTCTAGCAAATTAAACTAGATAAAGAAAGTATTCCTTGGACAGCTTTCAGCTGTAGTAAAGGACACTTTGAATGGATAGTTTTACCCTTCGGATTAAAGAATGCTCCTTCTATTTTTCAAAGGAAAATGGACAACATTTTTAATACTAAACCATTTTCAGAATTTTGCATGGTATACATTGATGATATTTTAGTTTTTAGCAAAGA